GAAGATTAAGATAAACGTTTTGTATGGGTCAGAGTTCTTAGTTGCAAACTAAGAAAAGGAGTTGATTAAAACAATATTGGGTGTTCACAGAACTGTTTTCCACTTTTAGAATTAGCACTGCTGAATTGGTTTGATAGAAAACTTATGCTTTCCATCACCACTGAGTAACAGGTGCTGTAGCATCTCTGCTCCATAGCAGCAGAAACTGGACCTCGCAGCCTCTGTTTCTAATACTGACAGAAACTCTCTGTTCATTCTCTTGGATCCCTGAATGCAGAGTCAAAGGGATAGGCTTTAGGGTATGTATCCTGGGCCACACTTTAGAGAGGATGGGAGAGATGGAATCAGTACTTTTAGCTTCTGTTGGGGATGATAGTATTTGACGCCAATCAGAACTTACAGCCATATCGGCAAGTAGGCATTTCCCAGTAGCGAAGAATCTGATACTGGCTAAAGTAAATGCCAGATGTCCTTTATTTTGTCTCATACTGTTATGGTATGCAATCTCCTCACTTTCCCATGTATGTATAGTGGTTGGTCCAAATTTTGGCACATAGAGTAAGTATATGACAGTTCTAGTTCTTCTTTGTCTGTATGCTCACCAGTACTTAGTAATGTCGTGTTTCTCTTTTAAGCCATTGCCATAGTTGATATCTCATTGTCATTGTAATTTACATCTCTGTTATGACTAAGGCTGTCTTGAGCATCTGTTCATGGTGCTTGTTTGCCATTCACATAGCTTCTTTGGTGGGATATCTCTTCAGATCTTTTGTTCACTTTAAAAATTGCTTCTTTAGTGTCAAATTTTAAAATTCTTTTTTTTTTTAAATAGCCTATTCTGAATATAAATCTTTGTCATGTGATTTGCAGTTATTTAACTCTATCTGTGGGACTTCCTCATCTAAGGTCTTCAATGTGATGAATCTCTAGTAGTTTTTCTTTTATGTATTATGCCCTTGGTGCCATATCTAAGAACGCTTTGCCTAACCTAAGCTCCAAAAATACTATATGGTTGGAGGGCTTCCTTCCTTCCAGAAAGAAGGGGGTATATTTGCCACTGTTTCTACATGACAGTCTACATCTGGGAATCAGGTATTATAAAGCCCTCCAGCAGTTTTTCTTTGACTGTGTTGTCTGATTTTTCTAGTTCTTTTCCTTTTTCAGCTTGTCTATTTCTATACAAACATCCTACAGGCATTTTGATTCTGATGAAGTTAACTCCATTGACTTGGGAGGAGTTGACAGCCACACTGGGGTTTGAACTCAGGACCTCACACTTGCTAGGCAGGTGCTCTACCACTTGAGCAATCCCCCCCACCCCCGCCCTTTTTGCTTTAGTCATTTTTTGTATGGGGCTCACTTTTGCCTAGGGACATTCTGAGACTGCATCTTCCTATGTCAGCATCTACATAGCTGATATTACAGAAGTGTACATCATGCGTGGCCCCAAATACTGATTTTTTTCCAGTCTATGATAAATTTATTTAGAAATTTATTTGTGTGTCTTTGATTTCTTTCATCAGTACTATAGATTCTAGCATGTAGATCTTAACATATATTTTATAAGATTTTTGTGCTATTGTAATTGGTACTTTCAAATAATTTCAACGTCTATGTAGCATATAACTGTATTTCAACATATGAGGAAACATGCATATAGTACATTCATTCCATTATATAGAAGTGATTTGTCTGTATATTGCTTTGTGCCTTTCGAGCTTGTATTTTGTGGTTTAGCTTAAATACTGTTAGTTCTAGAGAGTTTTTGTGGATTCTTTAGGATTTCTTAATGGACAGTTGTACTGTGTGAAATAAAGGCAGGTTTATTTCTTGGCCTCCAGTCCCTGAGTCCCTGTGTCTTGTTCATTTCCTTTTTTTTTTTGCTTTGTTGTGCTGGATGAAATCTCAAGTATGCTGTGGAGCTAGAGTAGTGAGAACATACATCTTTACCTTTCAGTATTTAACCATTAAGTATGATGTTAGTTACCAGTTTTTGGTAATTGCTATTTTAAGTTTTTTTTTCCCCAGGAAAAAATCCAGTTTAAGACATGTTAAAATAGTTGAAACAGGATAAAAACCAGAATATTTTAAAACTGTGTTGACCATGCAGTAATTGGGTGCAGTTGCCCTTGTCTCTGCATGTCCAAACTTGTTTAGTGGTCTACCTTGCCTCACTAAATGGCTGTAACACCTTAGTGCTTCAGTTAACAGAGTGTTGAGGATGAAATAAAGTGTCTGGTTGTTGTCTGAGAATTTTCTTTTGTTATTCTCTGCTCTGATCAAGGTAGCACCAACAGTAAAACTTGAAAAATGATAAACACGAGGAAGTAGTTAGATGCAAATATGAGATAGTCTGTAAGAAACTAACCTGCCCTTTTCACCAAGTCAATGTCACGTTTAAAAACAAATGGATGGACTGGTCCAGATAAAAGGAGACTTTAGAGACAAGTAGCAGGCTTTGTTTAGAGTCTTACTTGCTTAACATTGAAGTATTTAGGAGTGGGACTTGATTAAACTACAGCCATGTGCAAAATAGTAACAAGTGGTCCCACGAGGTATAATAGAGGTGAAATTTTTCTATTGCCTCTTGCCGGCGTGGCCCTCATGCTGTGGTAGGGCAATGCCCCACGCATGAATTGCTGGTGTAGACACGCCTCATAGAAGGATGGTGTGTGCAGTCAAGCACTGGACACAGTACTCGAGCATGAGCATGGATGACTGTGGTGCTGGTTTATGTATTTACCTTGCAGGATGAATATCTCTTGTTGAAATGCTAGAGACCAGTAGTGTGTCCGATTTCACAGTTCCTTGAATTTGGGTATATTGGATAGATTTTGCCATTTGAGTCTCTCTAATTAGAAGTCTGAAACACTCCAAAACCTGCAAACCTGAGCATTGAAAATTTTGGATTTTGGAGCATTCTGGATTCCAGTTAGGAATGCTTATCCCGTAGTATGCTTTTTATTGTCATTTTAGAGTGTACTCCTACTTACATAAAAAAAAAACATTTATTGTAAAATGATACTGTGTTTACCTTTTCTCTTGATTGCATTGAGGGGCCACATGGAGTGATTGACCTGTACCATTTATGTTTGTGTAAGCACATTCTGTGTTTACACAATGACAAAATTCCCCTAAGGATGTAATCCTTGGAAAGTGTCCACTCATTAAGTGACACAAGACGTAAATCAGGAAAAAAAATGAAAGAAAACCAGCAAAATAAAGAAAAGCAGGGTGGTTGAAGCGGATGAAACACATGTTGAGAATTTTGGTTAGGGACTTATTGGGGCTTGTTAATTTATTTTGAAGTATATTTGAAGGTTTAATTATAGAAAGTTTTGAGAAATGTGCTGAGTTGGGGTCACCAACTCGGGGCACATTTTTCACAAATGCTGTGTCACCAGCACTTAGGAAAACACTGATAGTAGTCATCGAGTTGAAGAGTGATGCACAAGAATTGGACTGGGAAGACTGATCTAGTTTTAGGAGTTTTTAATTTATCTTGGTGCTTGTATCTGTTTCACATATGTACAATAGGATAGGCACATCTCAGCCTAAAGCAGCTCTATTGAAGTCATAACTGACAAGAATAATGCTGTAGTTTACCTTCCCGTCCTGCTTAGTGATTTATAAAATTCATCTGAAAATTGGTAGTGCCTTAGGGTCAGTAAAGCACATTAAGAAAAAAGAAAACTCACTTGAGACGAGATGTTCCTTTTCTTGTGATGTTAATTCTCTTTTTAATCCAGGGATTCTTGATATCTGAGTGCTTTGTTTGGATCAGTCTCAGTTGCTAGTGGGAATTTTTATTTGCTGCACTTTATTTCCACTTCTCTAGTCCTAAATAGCACAAAGTGTTTTTGAAAAGGTTGATCTGGGAAGCTTTGGTAAATCAGTACTAGCCACATAGACTGGAAAATAAAAATTGTTATTTCACATACCAAGAAAAAAGTATTGGTCCAGTGTTATAATTTAAAAGCTCTTCAAAGGCATGAATATAAATACACCTGTTCAAATGCTGATTTCAGAATGTGGGATGGATATTTTGGTACGGTAAAAGCATTAAAAATATATTGTGAGTTTGAGTGTATTTTAATTCTCTCAAATTTTCTATGGTAAGTATTTTTGTCAAGGTAGCAAGTAAAGGGGTGAAGAATTTTTTTCTGGGGTGGGAGGGAGGGTGAGAAGCAATGTTTCCATTCTTCCAACTTTTTACTATCTTAAATTGAACCAATACAATTTAAAAGGAAATGATCTTTTCTTGGGCATCTTTTATCTATTTGTATATTCATGAAAAGAAAAAAGATAGGAATGCACGGGGCATTGTGGGTCTTTTGATTGTCTTGGTGGTAGAGTTACTTGTGGCTCAATGTAATAACAGATTTCAAAGGCAAATACTATGTATTCTCAAATGACAAACTGATAAAATTCTGAAGTCAGGAAGTAAGATTTAACTTCCCAACAGTTACCCTTAATATCATGCCTTTAAAATCCTGTCCAGATATGACCTTTGAAGCATTTAAAGATGTATGTGGTTCATATACTTCTGGAAATGATTTTTTCTTCATTTTCCCTTTGAAAATACATATCACAACCTTGGTATTAATTTGTGGCATTCTTATTATCTTTAAGTAGAACTTTCTCAAAATTAAATCTTTCTGACACTATTTGGTAGGCAAATTAATTTGAGAATTTTAAAATGATTTTAAACTTTGAAGAAGCTGGTTGGAAAAACCATTTCAGGAGGAGGGTTGCATCATATCTCATAGTTCAAAGACCTTAAAAAATTCCCACATTATTTTCTTTTGTGCCTAAGTATTTCATAACTTTTGAAAAGTTTGTAATTTCCTCTCACTGTTTCAATGTGAGATTGAGATTAAATCATTTAACTTAAGTCATTAACTTTGCTTTAGAAAAATGTTTAAAAGTTTATTTTTATTTGGATGTCCTTTTTACTGGTTCTTTTTTTTTTCTTTTTTCTTTTTCTTTTTTTTTTTCAGTTGTGGAAGAAGGACTGTGGGAAAATGGCCTTTCCTATGAATGTAGGACGCTGCTCTTCAAAGCGATCCACAATCTGTTAGAAAGGTAAGCAAAGGAACGGTGTGCAGTGGTGTTGGATCCTCAAGTGTATTGCTAGTGCTAAGAGGTTATTTGTATGTGCAGTTATTTTTATCAGTAGTAGAACAATTAAGTTTCTTTTTATGTTGATATAACCTCAGACTTTGAAAGTTTCAGGCATAGTATACAGAACTCCCCTGTCCCTGTCCCTTGCCTTACATTTGTTTCTTGCTTTGTGTTTTTAAACTTATTCCCCGAACCATTTGCAGACTTAAGATTAGTGGGTTTTTTTATACTTTAGTGTTTAGGTATATATTTCCTAAGGATAAGGCTTGTCCTCTCATGTAAATACAGTCTCATTATGAAAATGGTAACATTCAACATTGATAGAGTAGCGATGTTAGTTCTGCGGTCCTTCAGACTTACTGGAAATAAGACATTATTTAGCTTTCATATCTGTAAATCCGAAGAAAGTTCCTTGGTCTTTATTTTTATTTATTGAGATTGACATTTTTTGATGAGTTCAGGCCCTATCCTGGTTCCTTTAAGATAGGTTTCTCAGATTAAAATTACTTTTTTTAGTAGGAATGCTCAGTGTGTCATGACAGGTGGCACAAGATGTCATTGTCACTGTTAACGATGTTACCATTTTTAATCAAATGAATAAGGTGATGTTCTATCAGATTCTTCACTCTAAGTTAGTATTTTGTTAACTATGATTTTTGCTAATTCGGTCTTTCTTGTAAGTAGTTTGTGGCCAGATAAAAGATTGTGTAACTACCCTTTTTCTGCTCAACATCTCACTTTTTTTTAAAAAGCCTCTATTGGTAGTCCTTACTTAAATCAGTTACTACCATTATGGCTGTAATGTTAAGTATCACCATTTTTTCTGTTTTTATGAGTTCACATTATATTACAAGGGACAGATTTTCATTCCCTCTCCTCTTTTTCTCCCTCCGCTGCTCTTCCCCTCCCCTCCCCCTCCATTTGGATTCATGGATTCCTATTTAATTTAGTGGATTGTAATTCACAGCATCCTCACTTACTCTTAGGCTTCAGTGCTTCACACTTGGTTGTGGAAAGCTCCTTTGTGACACGCCTTTGGCTTGTTTCCATTGGTATTTGAGCACCTCTTTCTGCCATAACAGTTTGTTCCAGGTCCTCAATGGTGTTTTGAGGGGAGAAATAGATGGAAAAGCATGGGTTATTTAACAACCGTGGAAAAAGCTTTTCACTTCCTGAGTCTAAGATGTTACTGTTAGGTAATCAAAGCTGAAAGGATATTGCAGTACTATTAATTTTCATATCCCTCCTATTGTCTAGTGTCATCTCACTATGACATCAGTGCTTAGGGTACTTGAACTATAGTCGGCAAGTTGTCATTTGAAAGACCCTTCCTTTTTTCTTATTCCTCATTTTGAGCTTTGCTTCTTTGCCTTGTGGTTTGGAGTAGACTCACAGTCCCCCCCCCTTTTTTTTCTTTTGCTAAGGTGTCATATACTTGCAGAATCATTGATTGTAAAGAGTTGAGTATTCTCACATATTCTAAATATTTGGCAATTCTTGCTACCATTGCAAAATGAAACAGAATGAACACATACATGAGCTCTTTTCGGGAAATGTGGGTATTTATTCACTGTGGGGTAGTGAAGCTTTTATATCAGCTATGAATGTGCTTCTTTTCATCTTCTTCCTGCATCACTGGGTTTGAACTCAGGGCCTTGCACTTACTGGGCAGGTGCTCTACCACTTACCATGCCCCCAGCTCTTACTGTGCTTTTAAATACAAGTCTTTTATATACGTTTTTCAGGCCTGTGGATCAAAGCATATATTTTTAATACTATACTCACTGTGATGATTTAGTCCTTTGACAAAAATACTGTTGAATTTGTGGAAGAGCTTGATTACTTTGTTGGGACAAAATAAGAAGAGCATAAAAGCTGAGAGTAAGAAGAAATGCACATCATTCCCTAATTCTGGGCTCGTGAGTCAGAGTTTATCGTGACAACTGAAACCCAGGGCAGGGCGAACTGACTTACTGTTTTTGGGAAAGGTAATTGTAACACACAATGGATCTACAGACCCCGGGGGTCTTGGTGTGGCTTCAGGATGTGCTGCTTGACCAGTCACCCTGGCCGCACTGAGCCAGTAAGCATCCTGTAACTCAACTGGGACCCTGCACACCTTGGGCTTCTGTCCGTTCAGACCACGTGTCCCACAGAGTGCTTGCCATGCCTTTAGTGCCAGCCACTTTGAGTTTCTTCTTCCCATTCATTGACTGCTTCACAAAATTGAATTTGGGTATTTAAGGTTTCATTAAAATAGTCCCAGAATGGTCTATTTAAATCCTTCTCTAGGAATTTCCTTTTTGGGGTGGGAGGGTGGCACAGGGGTTTGAACTCAGGGCCTTGTGCTTGCTAGGCAGGACCTCTTACCCAGCTCTTTTGTGATGGAATTTTTCAAGATAGGGTCTTGCAAACTCTTTGCCCGGGCTGGCTTCAAACCACAATGCTCCTGATTGCTGCCTCCCAAGTAGCTAGAATAACAGGTGTGAGCCACTGGTGTTTAGCTAATTTTGAGACAAATGAAATAGCTTTTCTTTTAGAAAATAGTTAATAATCAAGATCCCTTAGTACAATTTATATGGATAACTTGTGTTAATCCTATTGTCCTATAAAATAATAATTTTCTCTTTTTATGAAACTTCATGTGACTGTTCTGTGACTAATACTTACCCTGCTCATGAGGCAGGAGAACATTTTAAACAGTAGTTGTTAGCTCTCTTTATTCACTGTCAACAGGAAGTAGAAATGGTATAAGTATTTGCCCTTTATTTTCCCCTCATGCAGATCACTTGCTATGACTTTGTCACATTTACAACCTAAACTTACTGAGACATAGCTTGCTATTGTTTCCTGGCCCTCTTCTACTACTCCTTTCCATTTCTCTTCAGCTATGATTGACTTGATTTTCTAGTGGATACAGTGAGTTTGTGCCATGAAAATCAGAGTTGAGGTTACTGGAACAGATCAAGGACTGTATCACTTGAAGGGCATGAGCACGTCCTGAACCATGTTTTCTTTGTTTTGCTTATTGACAAAGCATGTACAAGTGATTTACTATCTTTGCTTTTTTATTTTTTAAGTGTTAAGGACATGTGTAGTTAAAAGGGAGTTGATTTACTACCCTGAGAAGCTCTCATTTGTAGCTAAGGGAGAGTCAGATAAACAGATCTCCTTTACAAAAGGCTGCAGTCACTAATGTATGCAGAATGATGTCACTGCAGGAGCTTACTAAAAACATTTCACCGTGGAAATTTAAGGTAACGCTGTAAATTTCACTTGGAATTGTGTCATCTGTTTGAGGGTTACTGTTGATGGCGCTGAGGTGCTGCCATACTGATGCCTTGTAGAATGTTTTCAATTCTAGGGTAATAGGACCTCAGATACTTTCACCTTTCATCTACTCATTTCTCCTGTAACACTTCAGTAATTACCTGCGCTACATTATATACACCTAGCTGGAGTCACCATCCATTAAATAAACAAAAACCTAACGAAAAAAATCACTACTACTTACTTGAGCATTTCCATAAAGATCAGACAGAAAATAACATATTTGGCTCTAATTTTATCTGTTTTTCTAGGGGTACACATTTCTAGAACTCCTTTTGTTGGTTGCCTTCAATGACGAGGTATTTTGCTTCTCAGCTCTACACTTAGCTACGATGCAACATGGGTCAGTGGCTTGAGCTTCCTGCACTCCCATTTATTCACCTGTAAAACGGTGAAGGGTTGGTTGGCTCTACACAGTATCTTTCTTATGATCAGAGCTCAGTGAATGATTAATTGCTCTTATAGCTGGGAGAAATTTAGTAAGATAATGCTATTTTTAGAGTTGGAGAAAACACTAAAGGTCATCCAGTGACTTCTGGAGTCTCATTCTATAACATCCTTTTTTGTGGTAATCCCTTCCTGGACCACATGTTATATGAACACAGCTCTCCAACGAGCTGTTTCTGTCTTCAGAGAGCACCCAGTGTTAGGACATCTTTCTTACACTGAGGACAAAGCTGTCTTCCTATAACCTTTGTTTCTTCATCTTAGTACTATTCTTTGGGGTCACATGTAAATGATCTAATCCTGCTTCCATGTAGCCTATTTGATATCTAACTTGACTTTTTTCTTTCCTTGTTTGTAGTTCTTACCACATAATACTGAATTCTCTACCTCTCCTTGCCAGCCTTCTGGATACCCTTCCATTAGACCCCATTTTCATTTATTGCCATTACTTCTTTCATCAGTCAGATTAGGCCCAGTTATGTTGCAGCAACAGAAGACCTGAAGGATCCTGCTTCTCACAACAGCAGAGGTTTATTTGTGCCTGTGCTGCTTGTCTATCATGAGTCACCGACCCTGTCTCAGACCTGCTGTATTGTTAGAGAGCCAAGGGCAAAGGCAGAACACGTAAGAGCCCGTGGGTGCTTAGTTTAAAAGTGCTAAGTTTATTTCTGCGCATGTTTCTTCACCTAGATGTTCACCACAGACCTAAATAGACAGCAAAGTAGAAATTAGCAGTAGGAGAGAACCATGCCATATGAGCTAGCATGCTGTCAGTGGCGGAGGGAGGAGACAGCATATGTATTTGAGAAAGAATACGTCTATAATACAAAAACTGAGTGTTCTTCCCTTCCAATAATCTTCAGACAGCTGCCAGTCATGTCGCTGAAACACAGATACGTGTCTGAAATGCAAGCATAGATATGTGGTAGACTTATGTGTGTTCTTCAAAACAGCTAGGCTGAGTTCTTTTGTTGTTTTTTTTTTTGGAGGGGTGGTATTGGGGTTTGAACTCAGTGCCTCATGCTTGCTAGGCAGGAGCTCTATCATACTACACTAGTCCTCTTTTCTTTGTTTTAAATTTCTTAATCTGGGAATTAATTCAGAATTTCAGAATCTGGGAATGCTTACCCATGCAAAATTTTATCATTTTAGATTATGTATTTATGCTTATTTTCCCCTTCCCA